AATGAAGTGGTGTGGGAAGAGTAGCTAATTGCTGAGAAACAATATCCCCCAAAGAGTCAGAGCTTACAGATGTTGCTCTTTGGAATGGACAGTGGATGATAAAAGGCACATTTCTATTAGGTCATTTTACTATGCCTGCACAAAGTTTGCATTGTCTCAAAAATGCTTATATCGGCACAGGAAGAGCGCCGCGTGACAGCAAGGTGTAACTGCTGCTCGGCTACGTGTGACAGTACCTCTGCAAAATTTGCCTGTTCATACACAAGGTGCTGAAAGATGGAAAGATTCCTCAAGCAAACACATTGCCATCAGCAAAATGGTTTTATTCTAGAAGAGGGTGATTTTGGCAAGAAAATAAAAATCATCAGCTAGTAACAGGAAACCTCCCAGAACTGCAACCAGTATAAAAGAGGCTCTTTATCTGCAAACTTATCCTTATTCGAGTATAAATCCAAGATATTTAGTCATCTTTATTATAGCTACTAAAAATTCATATTTAATTCTTTACAGATCAAGTAATTTAAAAACTGACATTAAGTAATTTAAAATCTGCATTGATTGTGGGAAGTTCCTTCATACCATTTCTGTTGGAGAGGGGTTCACAGCTTACGGCACCAACCAAAGACAGGTGTATTCAGAAAACCTCCAGAGACACTCGGCTCCAGTGCAAAAAAGTATTTCATCTGAAGATTAAATGAAAAGTCGTAAATAAATCAAAAATGTACACACCTTCTAAGCTCTGGATTTCCCTGTAGGGGATAAGCCAAAACTGAAACCATTCTGAGTTCCTTGAACTCTCACCGTTTGGACAAAATAGTGGGGGGGGGAGAATCACACCTTATCTTGGTTTAAAAACCCACATTATACACTTTGAAAATAAAGTATAGCTTAGTTGTACAGCTGTGCTTAGGGCAGTGTATATAGTCACACAGCTGTTTGATCTGCTCCACGTGCTTCTCTGGAAGAGACTAGTTAAAGGTCTATGGATGTAAAACTATAAATCCTCAGTTACTTTACGATTAGTCAGGAGTTATTTAAGTTACAGATTTGTTTAGTGCCAGAAGCAGGTGGTTTTTCCTGCAGTTAGAAGTTTCCATAACAACAGGAGTGCCAATTAAAAGCCAATTAGTCATGGACATTACTTTAGGGCCCAGTACTCTGCAAACTCTCCCCTCTTCAATTTTCCTTCTCCCGAGCTGCCCATTATCCTCAGCACAAAGACTTTGAAATGAATGTGGACTGTTTGCCTGTCTCCATGGAAGCCTTGCCACACGGCACCGTACACAAACGCTTCCCAGGCATCTTCAGCGCTGCTTTCCCTTCTGATCTTTGCCCTAAACAAATGTGCTGTTTATTCACTCTTCTTCCCATTTATGAAGACCCATTTCATGCTGCATGAATACTAATGAGAAAAGAATTAAACCTATGTTTAAGAATGAGTGAAGATTCTTCCTTTCTGCATTTACCATGACAGCAAAAGCATACTGGTCGGCCTCTTTCGTTAGGCTCTTCTTTTAATCCCGAAACCTCTGCCAGTTCAAAATTAAGAGTGCAGATTTGGCATTAAAATCAATCAAAAGCTCCCTGATAGGAAAAAAATGACCTGTTGGTTCAATCTTATGAGGAGGAACCAGGAGATCATGGTGTTCCATTGTTCTGCTACCAAGGAGCACCACCACCACTCCATTCATGCCTGCATCACCGTTCTTGATGACGAGGACGAAGTGCTGTACTCCAGTGGTGTGAGCTAAGGAGCATGAAGCAGCCCTATGCATGAACACCACAACCGATTGGTTGCATTTTCTTTAAAGTTCAAAAAAACAGAGGCAATCTAGTCACAAATCTGACATATCCTCTGAAGTCAATGTAGGATCGTGTATCGATGGCAAAATTAAAAGGAGGAAACAATTCTTTTCTTCCAGTAGACAGCAAAGATTCATTAGTAACCCTAACGCTAGTCTTCTAGTTCGGTGCAACATGTCTGATGAGACCCTTCTTCAACCCTTCTCGTGTTTGGTTTCTAGTTGCAGTTTAAAGGAATAGTAAGTTTGCCCTTAGCAACATGAGCAGTATTAGCAGTCCCCTTCCCACTCCCTCCCCTCCCACCCCCCATTTCTATATAGCCAGAAAGGTCTTTAGCTCTGCCTCCTGCTCTCTGGCACCAGCCTTGGCAGATAATTGCCTTAAACTGTTTTGGGATGACACCAATGAAAACCAGCTGTGTTTATACATCCCTCCTTTGGAACTCTGTCGGGCAAGACATTGACCTCTCCCTTCACCTCTGTCCGTCCTGTCCTCTCCTGCCATCTTCCCTGGTCACTACTGGGGGTAAACCAGTGCCTGGCATCACATTATACTGGACTTCTGGCAAGGTGTACAAAATCAAAAAATGTCCAGTTTTGTTATTTTCAACGGAGCCTTGACAGTATGGATTAGCTGATCAAATAGAAAATCTCTTGGGTTTTTTTAAACGTGCGTATCTGCTCCTGCTTGCCTTTTTACTTCATTTCTGTCTGGCATGGACAAGCTCTGAAATTCCAGCTTGTCTGGCCACATGTTCCTTCGTGCACATTTAAAATCTGCCCCTTTGCTAAACACCTTGAAATCATTTCTGTGCCTGATTCTAGAAAACAAGGCTGTGTCTGCATCTGTGCTGCCTTCTTATTATGGTGAAAATCTGACTTGGATGTATTTCTTCTGTTGGAGAAACAATGGCACGATGTCATTTGGTGCAGTGATGGAGCCTGTGCCAGAACCAAGATTTAAATTCTGGAGAAGCTGGGTCTGAAAACCCTTGCTCACAAGTTACATTTCTTTCTCGTTTCCCAGATGAACATCTCCCGAGAAGACAGACATGGCTGTCTTTAGTCAACGTATTGGGCAGAAAGACCCAACATGCCATCTGTGTGGTAACCTTAATTTCCCCACATTAAGAGAGAGCTGACAAAGTCCTCTCAAGAAAATCGCTGTAATCAGAGTTTGTACTCTATATTTCATCAACTAATTATAAGTTCCCTTACAAGAACTACAGAGAAGTGGAAGCTATTATTTAGGTCTGTCTTGAATCACATCTAAGTGGAGGGAGTCTGCTATTGTGAATCCTGAATTTTATGGGAAGGATTGGTTTTTTCCATCAAATTTCTTAAATGTTCCTAAAGTGAAACCAGGCTGCCAGATGCAAGAAGTGAATGCCACCAGCAGATCTCCTACTAAACATCACAGCATTTTCCCACTTTTCCTAGAAAATTCTTTCATAATACTTGAATATTCTCAGTGTTTTATGGGTCAAAAACTTAACCTACTTGGAGACCACAGTGAATATTCACTGAAATGTCAGCATCTCTGTATCATGTGAACTAACTCAAGAAATCTCTGAAATCCAAACAGATTTAAATTATACTACAGCTCAAATCTAAGAGAACAGTCTGCACAATACAGCCCTCAAGAGATTGTAAAGGTCTTTTCTTGAGTACCAGACCCCAAAATATTTATGTCTTAAAGGAAATTTGCACATTTCAGAAAACCAAAATATAACATTTTTGTGATAGGAAACACTACTATGTTCTGCAGTAATTGTCCAGAACACTGAAGGTCTGTGGTGCTTCCAGAAGCCTCCATTTCGAATGCCCAAGCTTAATAGTGGTTGCTATTTGTGCACTACTTCATAATTATTTTTTCCAGAACTAATGAAGCTAAATGACTAGCCAGGCTCCATTCTGGAGACTGCTATTTCCCTTGACTTTACAGGAAATCCAATTGTTGCTACGGTAAATAATACCCATGACTTACAAATGAAATATGTCACTAGTCTTTATGCAATCAGCTCTGCTCGAGGGGGTCAGAGAAGTGCTGGTGCATGGTTTACCTCAGCTTCTGTCCCTACCAATATTTTGAAATACTGACTTGCGCTGTGGTTAAATTCATAATCTTATTTACTTAGTATAGAACTCATGCTGGTGTGGTTCTTCAGGAACCAAGACAACTGTGTTCAACAAAAGCCCCTGCGATACTGATCTCTAACTTGGCATCAGCCTTTCTGTGACTACGGCCGCAGCCCTGTTTCTGCAGTAGTTCAGTGCACAGGCAGGAAGCATCTAGAAGATTGGTACAAAAAGAACATGTTATACAACTTGTTTCAGTAGGACCAATTTGCTAAGTGTTGTAACTCTCACTTTTTACTGATGAATAATTAATGCGTTAAGTACAAGGAATATTCATTATTCACCAGACCAAAACTAACCTTAGAAAGAATTTGGAGGGCACTTAATTTACTGTAAAACTCCTGATTTTGGTTTCTTTTCTTCTGCACGTAGTTCTTTGTGAACTACGTGACAGCTCCTACTGGGAGAAGTATAGCCATGTTATTATATGGTCTAAATAGGAAAATATCCTGATGTCACTATTGAAAGTAAACCGTTTCCTGAAGAGTAAAAAAAGAAGCAAGGGATATGTACTCTATATGAAACACATAATATTACATTACACAATGTACACAAGCTTGTAGTAGACTGGACTTGGTGTTCATTTAGCTCCATACCTGAGAGGTAGCTTATTCCTGCCTCAGAGAATGCTTGCTATAAACCCTACGTGTGTGGATGGATATGCCAAGTTTCTGTTTATGCAACGTAGCTACGGGTTTCTTCCTACAAGAGTCTCCATGGCAAAAACAAAGCATGCTGTCAGTGGAGAAGGGAGAGTTTAGGGCTGGAGTAGACTGTTTCCGTGGGTTTTTTCTAGATGTCTTTAACCTGAACTAAAAGCTATAACTAACATTTTGTTCTTATAACCTAAATCTAAGAACAGCTGAAATCCACCTTCCTTTGATTCTTGGTGAAGCAAGCGAATGCAGCTCTCAGGGGTTGGATTTTACAGGCACTGAAGGTAGATGCCCCTGTTCTACAGCAAGCCTGAACAATTTCATTAGATCACATGCGTGCTACACTGTGCGCGTTCACCTCAGATTCCCTCCAAGTCCGCTTTGTTTTGCCCTTCTTTTCCAGGTCGAGAATGGTGAGATGCCAGCACCCCGCGAGCAGCAGCCCGGAGCAGGCAGAGGGAGCAGTCTCACCGGGTGGAAGGTACTGCCCGTCCGTTGGGCAACAGGATCGCCGATCTCCCACTGGCGGAGCTGGGATTTCCGAGAACGGTATCGAACCCAGTACCCAACTACTTAATTTCCTCACTGATTGGCAACATACTCAGCAGAAAAACTAAGACAGATATTAAACCACTAAAGACACAGACCAATCCTAATGAGCCTTGAAATGCTAGACCTAAATAAAAGGTAATACTCAGCTTTCTACTGCTCCCTCCCCACACAGGGTTATGTTTAATCAAAGACTGAACGTATCACTTAGAGCTGTGATTTAAAACTGCTTTTTTTCCATATGGTGCACCTCACCAAAACCTTTTTCCTGGATTAAAAGCATGAAATAAAAACTGAGAAATTCAACTAAATTGATTTCCAAGGAAAGCATTTGCAGTTCGTATTCTGCGCAGTCACACCCTTCAGTAACATCCTGCCCGCCTCAGTAACTCTGAAAAGGTCCAACCTGTTCAGCACTAACTACTGCTGTAAGGTTGTGTACTTGGGGTTTCTCAGGGGCCCGCACGAGGCGTCCTTTGGGTTTTCTGAAGTCAGGGGCTTTGCCAAGGATGGCTCTCGCTATCAGTGACCTCGACTAGGCTTTTCTAGGGCAGCTACAAGGGCCCTCAAGGAGACGGCAGTCTGGGGGTGTCACTTGGCTGCTGTAATGGTGAGGCATTTATGACAGCTGTCTTAGAAGCCAAACTCCTCCCCTTGCCACTCCGGTTGCGGTTCACATGCCAAGTAGACAGTAAATGCAAAATTTGGTAAATTTAACTTAACATCAGTGATTATTTTTTCTTTTTTTTTTTTGGACACATCTAGTTCAAAGCAGACAAAAGGACTTATCTGACGTTAAATATAAGTAGCAAGGAATGTTTACTGCAGACTGGAGAGCTCTATGTAGTGACAAAAACCTAGATTTTAGGTGTGTATGGAATGGAGCTAGCAAGCAGCTGATGAGGAACAGGAAAAATGATGACATGTAAATAAAATTAACATTGTAGCTTGTTCTCCGTGCGGTTAGATGTATAAAATAAACCTGCTTTTATAAATATTTTTATCAAACCAGACACTTTGACAGCTGACAGCTTCCATGTCTAATGTACACCAGCCATATTTCAAGTGCAAAGAGCTTTTTAGCAAAAGCTTTTCAAACAAATAAATTGTGGGTTTGTAGATTTAAAAACATGAAAAAGTGTCCCATCAAATAAAAAAGATTGATTAGACAGAAAAGAAATATAACTCAGACTGTTGAAGAAATAAAAAAAACCCTGTGTGAACATCTGGGATAAACCTAGATATACCAGATAAATAAATCTATATGCAGAATTATTTATAATGGTTTTTACATATTTTAATAAATATTAATTTCTTTGAGCAGAAGAGCACTTGCATCAGGGGAATTGAAATTTCTCCATGATTCTAAAGACAGAACGTATTTTTTAAATATTAGCTTAGTGGAAGAATTTTAATAAAACACTGGCTTTATGTTAAAAGAGAGGCATTAGAAGTTTTTGCTCTCTGGTTTCCAGTCCTGCTAATCATAACCTACAATGGGGGATGTAAAAGATAGTCTCTTTTGCATAAACATTCAACCAGAGCAGAGGGCAAAAGGAAAAGGCATTACAAGTGATCATTACAAGAGATCTTGGCATGAAGGCAGCTTGAGATTCACATGCCTTTTCTTCCATTTTTAAAGCTCATCTAGGTGTCTGCTATGCCAGATGCTGCAATTAATTTACTGGACTAAACATACCAGTTTGCAGCTCTTCAAGGAATCCAGAGAGCTGGGCAGTCAGTTCTCACGGCTCCCACAACAGCTGTGAACTCTGGTCGTTATCCCTTCGAACTCCAGTGGCAAGAAAATAAATGAGGATAGGAAACGTTCACCACTAGCATATCACAGATTGAAAATGGGAAGTCTTGGGGGGTGGCGATGTGTGTGTGTGTGTTTTGGCCACACACAGCCTCGCGGAAAGGCAGCGCTTTCTAATCAATTAGTTTGTCCAGCGTAACATGAAAACACAGACATTCATTCTCTAATTAAAGAGCAGCGCTGCATGCAACTCAGCTTTGTTCCTGCT